TCTGCCACAGAGTGCCTTGCGGCATCCGACGGTAGGGAGGCGACGAGGACGACCTCGAGATCGGCGAAGGGGTGGAGCCCAACATCTTCGGCCGTCCAATTCCCGATCGAACGGTCCGGAAGAGCCAGACACCCTGCCTTGCTTTAAAGCAAGGCAGAGGCTCCGGATCCTAGAGGTTAGAGGCAAGACCATTTTGACAAGTTCAACCTGTCATACGTAACAGGGCCCACCAATTCGGAGACCCCAATTTTCTTAATAGTAGTATCATAATATAGTGAGAAATGATCCGCGGTCCAACCCCGTTTGAGGAGCTTTCGAGTCGATGTTTTTGATGAAATTTTGTGAGAATATTCTTTATGAAATTGAGATTATACCCACAAAATTTGAGTTTAAAATTCAATCGGGAAGTCAATTAAAAATTTTTTAAAAAAACACTGCGCTGTGCACTTCATATAATTTTTTTAATTGTCTTTTCGAATGAATTTGAAGTTGGAAATTTGTTGACATAATCTGCAACTCATGATGAAGAACTTCTCACAAAATTTCATCAAAATATTCGATGCGAAAGCCCCTCAAACGATACAGACTTGAACATATGGTACATCTGGTCTGGCATGCCTAACCTTTTCATAAATAGTATAATACAATACTCCCCCCGTTCCCTTTTAAATGTCCCGTTTTACCATATTGGGATGTCCCTATTTAATTGCCACATACCTTATTTGGTAAACTTTGTGTGGCTCAAAATTATTCTTACTTTATTCTTACTTTATCAATTAATATCAATCACACAAACTCACTTTTCTTAAAACCCGTGCCACCATCTCCCGTCTCATTTAAAAGGGGACAGAGGGAGTAATAATTATAATAATGAGCTCGAGTTATCTTCTATTAATAGGACTAGATCTTGAACACCTCAATTATATTACTTGCATCTCAAAATAACTTCTCACGTTCCTTATTTAGACATGTGTCATTCTAACTTCAGATTTCCATAAAATAAACTTCATTAAAATGTAGGGATATCATTGGAAAATCAATTAAAATGATCGAAACAATCCTTATTTTAAGTCAAGTAATTTTTTCATAAAAACCTTGTGTCTAAGTTAAATCATTAAAATTATCCTTACTTTTTACACGATTTGCCATAATGTAGGGATATCATTGGAAAATCAATTACCCACTCTAACTTTCTACTAAAATGTGTCTAAGTTAATAATAAAATGACTCATTCTAATGTAGTGCACAAACTTTATTGGGGACGTGCGCCACTGATTACTATGCCGGTCAGCCCTTTGCGTTAGTCTAATTTTTTTGGGATAAGGGTCAGATAGGGCCTCGAACTTGAAAAAAAATGTCAAATAAGGCCATATTTAGGATGCTCTGTCCGGCCGACACCATTTGGGGTGGTTCCCGGTGGAATTTTTTGATGAATTTTTTTGAGAATCTTATTCATTAAGTCTAGTTTACTCATATTAAATTTTAACTAACAATTCAATCGGGAAGGCATTCAAATGAATTCATGAAGATAACTGCGCTTTTAACGGCACAGTTATCTTCAAGAATTCATTTGAATGCCTTCCCGATTAAAATTTTAGTTCAAATTTGATATGAGTAAACTAGACTTAATGAATAAGATTCTCAAAAAAATTCATCAAAAAATTCCACCGGGAACCACCCCAAATGGCGTCGGCCGGACAGAGCATCCTAAATATGGCCTTATTTAACATTTTTTTTCAAGTTCGAGGCTCTATCTGACCCTTATCCCAATTTTTTTTTTATACTACGCATGTATCATAATTCATACTCCGTAACTCATAGGAACAATTATAGTTTTATTCTACTTTTCTACAAAGGTAGGTGGTTGGCTAATGAACTGAATACAAAGTGCTGGATTTCCTGAGGAAATGATCATATATGAAGAAAACATTGCCCCAAAAATGATTTGAATTTTGAAAAAGAAGGGTGTGGTAGAGTGCATAGTTAATGCTGGAGATCAACCCAACAGGACAGCATTAAGTGGTGGATTTTTTCAATTCAAAGGACGGATGGCATTTTGGTAGATTTGCTTCCCCATGCTGCGGAGTCATTACTACGTGTGGGCCGCGCGCATCAGATTACGGCCCATATGGATTCCCACAGTGTTTTGGTTTCAGACCTGACTTCGTTTCTATGGCCGTTATCACTATTCTTTTTTTTTTATATTGATAATAAAAAGAAGAAAAACCAATTACCATTGTGTACTGTGCTGATGAAACAACGACAAAGAAAATGCACCAAATTGGTGTAAATATGTCGTGAGACATAACTGCACGACATTTATGCCCAGGGGTGCACACGGGTCCGGGACAAGCCCCATCTCTAAATCCTCTCCACCTATTTATTTTTTTCTGATAATAAAATGTGAATTAAATCAATGTATTATTTATATTCAGCTAGCTACTCTTAAGAAAGTGGAATTGTTTGTCACTGTTTTGTTTACAAAAAAAGGAAAGAAGAATTTTATTTAGGGACAACTCGAAAATAAAAGAAAAACATTTATTTAGGGATGTATGGAATATTAGACAACAAACAAAGAACTATGCAACTACTATAAAGAAAGTTCAGATACACTTTTAAACAGTTTACTTTTAACAACAATCAACTTGTCTAAATCTGTTGAAATTCATACTCCGTATGATCTTGGTTGAAATGATTATATCGTGGAAATATTATATTCAAATCGTCGTCATCATCGTCATCATTATCCCAGTGCTGCAAATGCTCTCATCTACTGTGGGGTAAGGGGGTGGGGATCGAATGTACACAGTCTTACCCATGTACTAAAGCACATAAAGATTGTTTCTGGATGACCTATAGTGAAAATCGTTCGAAAAAGAAAGAAAGAAATATATGAAAATAGCTAAAACGGTCTTATACTACACCTTTAGCCAATTCGGTCATAAGAGTAATCTAACCTTAACTTACTTAATTTGATTAGTATACAATACAATGTGTAAAATCAAAAGTTACGTATTTAATTAAAATGCAAATAGGGGTCACCAAAAGAAACTAGTTGTCATTGATGGTTTGATTCTATAGCTTGCAGTTATGGTAAAGTTATTTATTGGGAAAAATTGAAAATAATAATCCCAACTATTGCCAGTCCGCATAAAATAATCGCAACTATTGATTATTTTTGTGTAATCCCAACTATATAGACTATCCGCCAATAATGGTCCATGACCATATATTAACTCTATAAAAAGTGAATTTTAAATAGAAATTAAGCGTAAAAATTAAAAGTTGAGATTATTTATAGGGATTACTTGTTATATCTCATCCCATCCACTTTAGAAACTACAAGAATTTATTCGTAGGGACCATTATTGGCGGAAGATCCCTAAAGTTGGGATTATTCTGTAATAATTAATAGTTGAGATTATTATGAGTGGACCGCCAATAGTTGGGATTATTAGTATCAATTTTTCCTATTTATTGAGAACATATACCATACCTGCCCAGTTGCACCAACCCGTCTCATAGATGAGAAATATGAGATCAGATGATTGAGAAAGTATGAAGTCAGTTGTGCCCAAATACAAAACTAATCATCAGATCATCGCAATGACGTGTTCACCAATACGACTCGTTATCTACTTCCTATCTAAACCAGTCCAAATAAACATCAAAATTGTGAGTATTCATTCAACTAATGCAAAAGACAAATTAAATGAGCTATAAAAAACTAGCGCAAAAGACAACATATAGCTAGTAGTGGTGATATATTCATCCCACCACATGGTGTTCTAGCTTTCCACAATCATTAACTGTGTGATTTATTAACTAATCAATTAAGGCATGATTAGTTGCAATAGGTTCCACTTCAATTTGACCGGATCAATAAAAATGAAGGCTATCTTGTGTAGTATACTAAGGACAAACTAAATAAATAGTTTGTTTTACTATTTACATGCATTTCAAGCATTCATTGGCAGGGTAAAATCTGATATGTTCATGTGATTCTCTCTTTTGCTTCAACTATTCAAGTCAATCATATTAAAGCATATACAAAATGAACTAAAATCAGGGTGTGCAGTTAATTGCACTGTAAAGTGAATTTTATGGATCATTATTCCTTTGCAAAAAATGTCAACCACGCATTTTCCTTTATTAAAAAGGATATTGTATAGTCAAGTAACCTTTAACAAATTAAAGGGCACGAGATAATTAGATTTAACTTTCATTTGAAAGCCATGGCAACTCACAATAGCGTCTGTCGGGGTTTGCTGGTGGAAATCCGGAATCATGATGTCCATCATAAGGATCAACCATCAGGTAGCATATACTCCCTCCATAACATTCACATCTTCTCACTTTCCGTTACTTTTTTGGCCGTAAGACTCATATCTTCCAATTTCTAAATCTTCTCATCATACCCTCAATAATTTTGAAAAATAATGCACTATTACAACTATTTTTTTTGGATTTATCTTTCATTCTATCACAATATTTCATTATCTTCCCACAATATTCTCAATAATTTATATGCCCTTTCACTATTCTTAATCCCACCCAGTATTGAAGATGTGTGTTAGGAGGTAGTATGTAACTATGTAAGGATTGTAAGCAATGCATGGGGTATGATATACATAATACGTAAAATTATACTCCGTACTACGGACTTACGGAAAACGGATTACTATCTTTCAAGGCATTTTCGTAGAAATTGGCAATTAATCGATCTCCTCCATCCTCATATACTTCCACGGCTCCAAATTCATTTACCATTTAAAGCAATTCGCCAATTCCTCATAACTGATTTGAAATTTGCACTCTTTAAAGTTAACCGATTGTGTAATAAAATCCTCTCTAACTGAAATTCTTTATAATTAGGAATTATATTTAAAGCTGTATATAAACTAAAAAGCAATCCAAATTAGAATAGGATAAAAAATTGACATTCTAAATAAGCAGACTGCACTTGATTTTGAATTAGAGAAAATATCATTGAACCATAACTTCCACATAGGCCCTTAATTGCAATAAGTAAAACTTTCATACACTAAAACTAAGATTAAAATTTACACGTATCAATAAAATTATGTAGTAATTATTTAGAGATAAATAGTTTATTGTTCCAGCAAAAGGGAAGAATAATTTCGGGACAAACAATAAAAAGTGTGATTTTTAAATAAAAACATATGTAACCGACACATCATTTTCTGTCTATAATACGGGGTATATTCACAAACAAAACTCGGAAAATGATGTTACCCTTGTGAATCCCCCACTCTTTCTCACTCCTCCTTTTGAAACTCCCCCACAACAAGAGAAAAGGTTATGGCCTAATCCATCCATTAAAAGCAGGATGAAAAGAATGCAATACCGGATAAAGAAAGCCATCCCATTTCATCATTGACCTTCCTTTTTGTGCGCGTTTCCCCTCCCAGCCTTTTATCTGGACGGAACTGCCAACACGGCCAAAACTCCATGAATCTGCCATACCTTTTCCTTTCCCACTGAACCTTTCTTCAATCTGCTCCATTTCCTGAAGAATGGACTCTGAAAATCCATCTTCCAAAGGCCCTCAAGCATGGTGAGCAAAAGTGCAACTTTTCCTCTCTTGAAAGTTTTACAGATTAGCCATTTTGTTCATTCAGTTTTCCTTTCAGGTTTTGCACTACAGGGTTACCAAGCGATGTGACAATCCAAGCGGATGACATGACCTTCCATCTTCACAAGGTTTGCGTGCTTCATTGAATTTCATCTTCCCGTGTCTAACAACCTCTTCTCTGTCATTAATTCCTCTGTATATTCATTTCTCTGTTCAGTTTCCGTTGATGTCGAAGAGTGAAAAGCTTCATGACTTAATTACAGAGCAAGAGACAAAGCATAGACTGGATGGTAATGGTGATGGAGAGATTGAAGAAGAAGACGACTTCGCGGCGGAGACAGTGGAATGTCACATTTCCTTCCCTAATTTCCCGGGCGGGTCGGAGACTTTTGAGGCTGCTGCGAAGTTCTGCTACGGAGTCAAGATTGACTTGTCTGCTTCAAACGTGGCTTCTCTCCGATGTGCTGGGGAATATTTGGCGATGACCGAAGAATATGCGGAAGAAAATCTCATCTCAAAGACTGAGAGATTTTTTTCACAAACCGTTGTGAAGAGCATCAAGGACTCGATCAAAACCCTAAGCTCCTGCGAGAAGCTCTTGCCGTTGGCGGAGACGCTCGGCATTGTTCAGAGATGCATCGATGCTATTGCGGCAAATGCCTCCTCCGCAGATCCGTCGTTGTTTGGATGGCCGGTGAGCGACGGGGCTTCCAACCGGAAAGGAATTGTCAACAGGTCTTTCTGGAACGGCGTGGAAGCAAATACTCGCGGGAAAGGCATTTCCAGAGATAGAGGGACAGAAGATTCTTGGTACGAAGAACTTGGCCATCTAAGATTGCCTTTGTTCAAGCGTTTGATTTTAGCCATGAAAGGTCAACGATTGAATCCGGAAGTCATCGAAAACTGTTTGATATCCTATGCACAGAGAAGTATTCCGGGACTTTCACGATCTAATCGGAAACCATCTTCATCAGCCATACCTGATGAGAATGAGCAGAGACAGATTCTCGAGACTATAGTAGCAAATCTCCCAGCAGTTAAAAGCTCAAGAGCTTCCTCAACAACTCGAATTCTATTCGGATTACTACGAGCCGCGAACATTCTGGATGCATCAGAGAATTGCCGATCAGGACTGGAGAGGAAAATCGGATCGCAACTGGAGCAAGCTACGCTTGACGATCTTCTCCTTCCAAGCTTTTCACATCAAAACGAAACTCTGTATGATGTGGACTGTGTGGAGAGAATTTTAGGTCATTTCTTAAGTGGTTTGGAAGATCAATCTGCAAATGGAGGAGATGAAGGCGGTGATGAGACCAACAATTCAAGATCTAGTTCCGTAATGCTGGTAGGGAAATTGATAGACGGTTACTTATCTGAGATATCGGTCGACTCTAATCTGAAGCCGGAGAAATTCTGCGAATTAGCCGTTTCTCTTCCTGACCAAGCTAGACTGTTAGAAGACGGCCTTTACAGAGCAGTTGACGTCTATCTAAAGGTAATTACTCCGTACAATGTAATTGTATATATTAAGCGCACGCTAGTTAGGTTTCTGAAGCGAATTAGGTTTATGATTTCATAAATCTGAGCAAAAATCCTTCATGCAGGCGCATCCATGGATATCGGAAGCGGAGAGAGAGAGAATCTGCGGAGTAATGGATTACCAGAAGCTGACATTAGAGGCGTGCACTCATGCGGCTCAGAACGACCGCCTCCCGCTGAGAGCAATTGTCCAGGTACTGTTTTTTGAGCAGCGTCAACTCCGGCACGCTATTGCCGGAACTCTGCTAGCCGCGCAAATGCCTCAGCTGGAAATCGGCGAGGAAGGGGAAGATGACGAGGAGGCGGCGTCTCCGCCGGCGCAGGGAGCGAGCTGCACGTGGAGAGCAGCTGTGAGGGAAAATGAGGTGCTGCGACTGGACATGGATAGCATGAGGACGCGTGTGCAGGAGCTGGAGCGCGAGTGCTCCACGATGAAAAGAGCGTTTAATAAAGCGGTTGGGCGCGGCGGTGATGGCGGCGGCGAGCAGGGCGGAGGGTGGAGGAAGAGGTTTGGGTGCAAGTTTAAGGCCCAAATATGTGACTCCCATGAGCCCACTGTTGCGGAGGCCCGTAAAGGACGATCCCGTCGACATCAATAACATTGTATTTACAAAATTTCAATTCTTTCCAGTCAGAATTCTTAATTAAATCTTAATTTAATTTTTTTTACTAAAAGAAATTACAGGAATATTATGCTAATGCTGCGTACATTCCTACCACTTTTGTACGTTAATTTTGTGAGTGATGAGAACATACTTTGTTTAAGGTGGAGCAATAGAGCATGAAGTCATTATGGAATTTTTTTAAAGAAAAAATTGCACAAATATTACTACTTTAAATCCCTCTAACAAAAATATGACTGTTGATTAAAAGAACAAGGTGAATTCCCTACAATTACTCCAAGGCTGCCATACGTGGTTGGTAGTTATAGTCACTCACTTTTTTGTAAACCCAAACATTATTGGTAATATTTACGTAAAAAACACTTTTTTTTTATCCGAATCGAATTTTGAAATTCAATTTTTGAAATTCAATTTGGTGTAACAAATCATATATCTCAATATTTTACAAAATGTGTGAGAAAAATTCTAAACTAAAAAATTATAACGGTTACAATTATTTTCTGATATTTTTCTATCTTTTTTTAAACAAATAAATATAGAAATTGTAACGTTAGAACAAATAAGAATTCCTCTTTAACTAATTAAGATTTAATAGGTATGCATATTGTTTGGTATATTGTTCATGAATTTATATTTTGTTTACAAGAAAAAATACAATACCTAAACTTTCCAACTTATAATAACTGTTGAGGTTTATTCATCTTTTTTCAAGAGCTCAACACCTTTCCTTGGACTTTCATAGGAGTTTTGTGGGTTGAATGCATTTTGGTGGATTAAGTAGCTATTTTGGGCACAAGTACTAACAAGAAAAAGTAGAGAAGTAAGTGAGCCAAGTTCTATTCGAGGCTTAGAACAATTACAACACATCTTACCAAGTCGAGCGCAGAGCCACTATTCTAAGCTAAGATTATACAAAACAAGTAGAGAGAAGAGCCATATTGAATATAAGTTATCAACCCTAACATGAAATGGATGATATATTTATACTACTATGAGGTAGGTGGTGGTGACATGGCGAACCTTGAGTGGCTAGCCCCCAACCATAAAATCTTGCATATATGATGCATTAAATGTGGTTCGAACAAAATCCTAACTTCCCTGTCAATTATTTTGAGGTCGTCGGCTAAGAGCCTTCCTAAATGGTCAAGACAAATCATCCAAAAACATCATGTTGCGCGCCGTGCGGCCCTTAGCATGACTATGAGGTAAGTGATGGTGACATGACGAATCTTGAGTGGCTAGCCCCACTACTAGAAAAAGGGCTTTTAACAATGAAAAATATGGTCGTTATAGGCTCAAAAGTTGGTCGTTAAAGCTTTTAACGAACACTTTTTTTTCGTCGTCAAGTTGTTGTTATAGGCTCCGTCGTTATTGGTTTTAACGACAAAGTTCGTCGTTAAATTAACGACAACACGAGATCTCGTCGTTGCTTACTAACGACAAGAAACTCACTCGTCGTTACATAATAACGACAATATACATTACAAGAAAAGGCCATTAGCAACCGGAAAATTTGTCGTAATTTCTTAAAAGATGGTCGTTAAAGACATTTTGCAACCACAAAAGACATTTTGCGACTAGTAAAAGAAGTCAACAGCTAAAACATATTGGGACCAAATTTGTTTTCACTGGCCAGATTATGTAAAACATATTCCAATAAATAAATTGAATAGTATATTATATTGCAACATGCTGCACGTATAATATCAAATTGTCTTACATGATAGAAACCTAAAATCTAATTTACACGTAATCATTTAACTTTTAGTTAATTCTAAAATAATGACAAAACTAATAGATCTTCCAGGTAAGCTTTCCTTTGCTTGAAACATCATCTCAACTCTTTTCCTCTTCTCAATGCTTTTAGGAAATTCTTCATGATAAATCAGCTTGAGGTTATCTTATATGGGGTATCATATATAGATTATCTCCAATAGCAACTGTAACATCATTTGAAGGAGCTCTCTTAAGATCTTCCTCTAACATAAACTCGAACCTTGCACCTAAAACCATAAACTTTTATCATTAGTAAAATCCATATAACATCACACATATTTAATAAAAACAACTTGGAAGGTCCGATTTTGTTCTATAGATGACCTGCCTAGGTTATTCATGTGATGATTATGATGATGACGATGAATGTGATGGAGTTCGTGGCACCTAAGAATCCGCTTCCTCATAACTTGATTTGATGGAACACGTAATTATTGAAAATGACAAATAGGAGCAAGAAAATAACAGGTCTTACCAGTTTCACCGACTTTCATGGAGTATCATCATCTCCATTTCTTTTCAAAATCTAACAATATATTCAGCAACAATAAAGAAGATAAACCTAGTTTTGTTAAAACCAATAAGTTGCCTGAGGAAATAGTGAGGATCAGCATCTGTGTTTGGCTACCGATAATCATACCTGTGAAGTTGAGATCATAAATATATGTACCCCTCCTCTCCCTTGCAAATTCAGGAGTGAAAGTGACAACACAAGGTTTTCTGCTGCTTGTTCCAAGTTAATTATTGACTTGACTCAATCTCCCATTTTTGTTTGATTGTATATTCTTTTTAAGTTATAACAGCAATACCATTATTAATAAACAAACTAGAAACATGTCTTATGTTTCTTAGTTTCTTAAAAAACTATTTAAACATTACTAATAATTGGGCCGAGTAAGCCATGATCAGAAACACCACATGGGAAAAAAACATCTTTCTTGGGTGAGTCTAATCTTGTAACCTTTGAATTTCATGGTGTAGGTTATTTGAAAAATTCTTACTTCCCAAGCATTTTACCTAATGCATAAGAATATTCATCTTATTGTAATAAAACTATGTAGAGAATTGAATCAGTGAAGTTAGAAGTTTGAGAAATTGAGAAGAGTTACCAGCCAGGATTTTAGACACCTTATAGGTTCACCCTTACAAGCCTCTTCACATGAAAAATCACACACCAGTGGAAAAACTATTCCAATAATGTTGCATGAAGTTTTCAGAGCTCAAACAATATGCATTATGTGTTTCCTTCAAAATAATTTTACAATTAGGTAATTAGAAGTACAACATATGATAACCATAACGTATTAAATTTCAATAAAAAACAAGTTTCTGCAGATTTATAAACAAGCTCCTGCAGATTTATAAACTAGTTTATTGTGCCATGTAGACAAACATTTTCTCTACCCAAGTAATCATAATCATAATGTATTAAATATCAATAAAAAATACCAGTACTAAATTTCCTAACAAACTTTTAGACTTACTAAAGAAGGGTAATGGTATTGAACTTGATTTCAGGAACCTATCTACTTGGAATGAAGTCACCAACACCTGTCTGAATGTCACAAACCAAATAGAAAATAAAGCAAAACTTTATGATGTTTCGAAATTACCAATATCTCTCAGGGATATAAGATCTGCTTATAACTCTAGTTTAGGCTTGTCTAGATGTGGTTGTGTTTTACTAAAAAGAAATACAATTCAGCTAAAAAAGAAGCTAGGGCAATCCATATAAATGATCATCCAAGACAATATTGATAAACTCAGATGTGTGAAATATGTTACATTTTATCAACATATAAAACTAATACATGTAAGTGTAATGTAAACTTCTAATCTTAATACTAATTCTGGATGATCAATTGTTATAGAAAATTACCTCAAGTTTCTCACCAGGTTTCAGCCTTGCTATTTTCTTACACTTGTTTCTTCCCTTCTTTTTTTATCACCGATTTCTTCTAGTACTACAAGAGTCAACATCTTCAACCAAAACAAAATATGATTCAAAGTGTTTGGATAATGACAACAAGAATAAAAATTGTATTATAACAATAATGAAATACTAAATGTTTACCATTTAGATCTTGTACGACTATCTGATCTTCCTTTGATTCTGAGTCACAACATCAAGAACATTCCTCCTGCTTGTTATGACTCATTATTTTCTCATTATTAGTATAGGAGGCCCCACCTTCACCGCAAGTGACATTCTTAGAAAATCGATTTCAGGTCTCCCAAGAACACAATAGAAGGTTAATATAGAGGAGGCCCCATATATTAACAAGCATAGTTTTCTTTTTAGAAAGTTACTGTCTAAATTAAGTAGGGAGATATATGATTTGCACAGGGATCCACTTTTACCATTTGGATTTTGTAGAGCTGTCGGGTCTCCATCCATTACAGTGGTTCTAACGTCCACACCAATTTTTTTATGCATGTACTTTCACAAACTATTTCATTTTTAGTAGGACAATGGCCACCTCCTTCGAATAAGACGGACACTAACATGAAACGTTCAATATAGACAAAAAAGTGAAATGGAAACAATCATTATATGTTAAACCATTACCATTTGAATCTTGTAATGATGTCAAATCTCGAGTTCACTAACATCATCAAAGATATTTGTTCCTCTCTTATTTCCAGTCATATATTCATCATGGAAATAAAAGAGTCACCTCCTTCAACAATGATTTTTTGTGTAAATATTAAATTAGAAAAGTAAATGTAGTAAAACATAGAACAAATTATAAATAACAAACGCTTACCAATGGGTTTTCTGGAAATTTAGGATTTCAATATACTTCGTTGTACAAAACATCATCGGGAATGTTTCTTCCTCTGTTTTTTGCAATAAGCAGCCAACCTTTATCAATGTTGTCAGTAACATAGAAAGCTTGTCTTGCTTGATTAGTAAGGATATATGGTTCATTCATTTTTAATTGCTTATTTGAATTAACACTTAAAGTACCATACTCATCTAATACTCATCTGTTTTCATGCCTCTAACCTTATCATACACTTCCACCCATTTAATGGTACACAAAAGTTTTCCATAACAAACAAACAAAGGAGTAAGCTTATCCAGTTTTTTTTTTTTATCTTTTTTGGTTGAAAAGAATTAAATTAGGAAAGAACACATAAATGAAAAGAATAACTAGTACTTCATATAATTAATTTTTATCAAAATGCTTCAAATTTATCTATCAAATATAAAAAAAATACCTATACAAAAAGAACATTGAAATCGTATTTACTATAAATCAATTATTTGATCGGTTGTTTTGATGAGATTTTATTAAGAAAATTATATGGAAAACACCAAGGAACACATAAAGATTAATGAAGAGGCTTAATACAAAAATAGAAGACACTTAAAGCAAGTATAATTCATTGATTATGATTACCTAAAAACAAATAGATTAATTCAGAAGATTGATATTTCACTGAAATGTCCCTTCTCATAGAGAGACTATTCGGACTAAATTAGTAAATGAAAAAACAGTTCACCAGAAAAGCATAATCAACACCAAAAATTAAATTTTGAAGAAAATTAGCATTTCAGCGTGATATATCAACAGTCCTGGATCAAAATTAGCAACTTAAATTTCATTAAAATAAGAAGTAAGAACATATTATGATTATGAAGATAAATGATTAAAATTACCTAAAGCAATTCAAGAAGTAGATCGGTACAGAAAATAGAAAGAACGGTGACCTGCGGCTGATCGAGAAAGCAGAGCAAGTCTTGGCGGGGAAGAGGGTGAGTAGCCGCACCGGAATAACAGCGCCCAGCTTCAGAACTCAAGAAGCAGATCTGTTGAGAAACTAGAAAGGATCGTAACTTGCGGCTGATCGAGAAAGGAGAGATAATCCTAGCGTCGCTAGTGAAGAAGACGGTGAGTGGCGGCGCCTGAAGCTGAAGATGGTTTAATTTATTTCGTGGGGCTATTAGGGTTTGGGGAAAATTTGGGAAAGGGAAGGAGAGTTGGGAAAGAGCGGGATTGGGAAAAAAATTGGTGCCGCGGGAGTTTTCTGATTCTAAAAATACGGAGATTTTTTATTCCAATTTTAATTGTAAAAAGTATGCATGTGTGTAAAATTTAATTTGTAATCAGGATGACTACAAAATCCTAATAACGACCATTTAAGGTATGTCGTCGTTAAAGATAAATTTCAATCACGACGAACTTATTAGTTATCATTAAAAGATAATTTTAACGACGATTTTTTAGAGTCATCGTTATATGATGGTCGTTAAAACATTATTTTTTAGTAGTGCCCCCAACCATAAAATCTTGCATATCTAGTGCATTAATTGCACTTCCCACCAAAATCCTAGCTTCCCCGTCAATTATTTTGAGGCCGTTGGCTAAGAGCCTTCCTACAATGGTCAAGATAAACCATTCAAGAACATCATATTGCGCGGCATGCGGCCCTTAGCAGGGTTCTGGGTCTATTTATCTGCAGGGGTATTGGACTGATTCTATATTGGGCCAATTACCTCAATTACACAAGTCCTCTAGTTATGATGTTCTGAGCATGCGCCAGACATCAGGATGTAGATCCTGATGGACGTTTCTCTTCTAGAAGAGAAAATAGCCACGAGAAAATGGTTGTAATGGTGGTTCCAAAGGTTTTGAAGCGACGTTTATGATGGACGGTTCAAATCTAAAGAGTTTGTGATAATTATCAGACTTTCTGCCTTCACGCGACATATGTTCTGGGGTACACTTCTCATCACGTGTCATCCGTTGATAGGGCCTTCATTCGTTGACCCCCTTATAAATATCCCCTCAAGATCTTGGATTAGCATTTTGGAAATTTTCCCTTCCTCTGTTTACTTCGCTCCAGCTTCTCTCTACACCGGAACTTCGCTGTCAGCTCTACCTCCCGCAAGAAACAGGTGCTCCTCCCCCTAATCCTCTTGTTTTCTAATGTCATTTTCTTCGGAACACGAGCTAAACGATATGGTTGTTTATGGAGTCGGTCCTCCCAATGATTTGCCGGGTCATGATGTGCTCCTGGACAATGCCCGGGGTTGTGAGCATTTCACCTCGGATCATTTCATGGAGAAGATCCCGATCTACCTGCCACCGCCCGTCATGTATAGTTTACGTGGGGCAATCCATCTGATGCGCCGCCGCCACGAGAATGACCATGGTCTGGGTCGATTCGGTGACCGCTGGGTTACGATTCCTAATCCACCCATTTCTTCCTTCAAATCTTCCAGTGCTATGAAGTGGTCCCCGTCCAGTCCATGTCCAACTCTTACCGGCTGGTGGACGGCTTCATCGTATGGTGCAAGGAGAACAAAGTGGACCTGAGTTTGGTTGTCTTTCATTATTTCTTCAAAGTTTACCCCCACAATGCCCACGGATTCATACGGTCAACAATTGCACCGTCCGGAAGCTCTTTTACGGGGCTCCTTCCTCCATCAAGGATGAAAGCACCGATTTCTCACTACTAAAAAAATAGTTTTGTGCAACAAAATATTTCATCGTTAAAAGTTATTATTTTATTGGCCATTTTATTGTGCAATAATTAAATTAAAATTGTCACGATGTTGTTGCCATAATAGCGTGGCCCATTGTACTTTATGCGATGAAGTACATATTTGTTGCCCAAAATAATGTGTGCATTACGAAAATTTCATTGCCCAAAATAATATTTGTGCATCACAAGTTTCTATTGCACATGAAAGTATTTTGTGCAACCAAATTTATTAATTGCAACTCTTTGTTGCACAAATGCCTTTTGTGCGACAAATTTTATCATACATGTAGCCTATATTGTATTTGTGGATTGAATATTATGATCACATCACTCTTCTGTGACAAAGAGTTACGATTTTGTGTTTATTTAATTTTTGCAAAAAACTATTTATTTTCCACTAACATTCAAGCAGACGTATATAGATGTATGCACACAATTATAAAATATAAAAACTTATGAGGTGCACTGATAAAATCAAAATAAGTTGTTTCTCCACAATCAATCATATTACAATAGTTATAATATAAATATTTCAATATATTCATGTCAATTTATATACAACATTTGAACACAAACAAGTGCAAAACATCCTTGAAGCATGTCAGCTGGATGTACCCACTTTTGCAGTATAGACCATTAGAACTCTAGCCAATTCAAAGAGAGATTTCAATGTCATGCTTCTGCTAACTTTTATGCATCACTTTGTCAGCTGCTTTTTCAACACGTGTCATGTTTGGAAAGCACATAAACAAACAAAGACAACCATATGATAGTTGGGGTTGAATTTCGATAAATCCAGCTATTCGATCCTTACATTTTCCACCTCACTTCTAACACCAAGCATATAAAAATGTGATTCATTAGAACGGATCAATAAACTATACAACTGATGAAGACAAATAGGTTAAAGGGTTGTTGATGCATTATATTGCAGTACTTGATGCATCTGGAGGCTCTTGTGTGTTGCTAATGAAGTAGACTTTATATTTCATGAATATCATAGCAAACTTAGCCATATAAAGGTGAAGAACAGAATTACAACTCATTTCATTTGATTCATATTTTTTTGTCAAATAGAATAACGACTCAAAGTCAACCAAATATATATAGATAACTCAAATCTAAGAGCTCAAGTTAATCATGTGAAACACATGCATATATCACAGAGTATAGATATTGATTTATATAATGTATTGAAGAGGATAGATCCGACAGGAAGTGCCATGTAGACTTTTTTGATGAAACTTTTTTAGCATGTTCCCCATGATGACGAATTGACGGTGCTTATTTATCTGCTTAGCTTTGGCTACCAAAATTCCTCTGAGTATATGTGAAATTGATGCTTTATCTCTATAATCTATATATGTTCGGATGAACTCGGCCAACAAGAATAGGAACTCCACATTTATCTCCAGGGACAATTCGTATGTGAAACTAAATGTAAGAAAGGGCATTTGTGTATTTTAACAAAATTTTACATCAAAAATCACTTTTTTATCAAACACTTTAACTTTTACCTTTTTCTCATAATCACTTCTATTCCCAAACACTACCAACTTTTACTACAAATCACTTTTCCAATAATCTCTAAAAAAACACTTTTAAAAAGCAAAAGCAACCACAAACACTCCCTCAATAAAATCCCCTTTTTCCTATAACAACTTCAACACACTATAAATGCTCGAAATTTTGGACCATGAAGCTAAGGTTCATCGATAATCCACCCTCATGTAGGATACAGTTGATAGATACCAATAAAAAAACTTTCAGTTTTCTTATTCTTAAAATTTTAGAAATCATATTTTACCCATCAAGTGCTCGCAATGCTAATGGACAATAATTTCAGTTAATAAAAGGATCACTATTAGTATAAGATGTTACATTGCAATGAGTAACAAAAGGTTTGCAACTAGATAAAGAACTAACATGAAGCTGTAGTCGTGAAAGAACATTAAAGTAACAAAAGCTGATAGTTAAATATATGAGACAAAATTGTTAACAAACAACTACCTTCAGAATATGTTAAAGTTAATTAGAGCACACAATCAAAGAGTCGTTATATTCTAAGTTAATCAAAGAAGAGTCTGGTAGTTTTTTCCATTCGTGGTGGAGTTAGTATTCACTCATCTTGCAAGAGTTCGTCCTCCTTCGAAACCACCTTCGTACTAACAAGAGTTTTGCAGAAAGACTTTATTTTAATGCTATTTTTTCTTTAGTAGCGGTACTTGTTTTTATTTTAGTCTGAGTAGTTTTGGTTTGGATGTTTGGATCTTTGGAGTTCTTTTAATAGGCTATGGTTTCATGTCCAATCGTTTTAGGTTTAAATTTGTCTGTTTCAAGTTTAGCGAGTCAGACTGCTTTGTATGAGGTGCCTGACTTTAAGTCTACTTCTAAGGTTCACGATTGGAACTGTAAAATCTTTCAAAAAGTTGTTTTGTATGTGTTCTCGATTTTAATATAAAAGCCGCTCTCTTATGATAAAAAAAAGATAGTTGATAGATATTGGTTAGCACACAACATTCTGAAAACCATTTATTTGAGCAAAATTTACACCTGACCCTCATTTGACCCGGAAGCTAGGGTGAGAAAACTGCCTCATTTTACTCCTTTTGTATATAGGGGGTGTTTGAAACTGATTCTGTGTAACAACCTCAATTTCACAAAAATTTTAAATTTCAAGATAAAAAGATAAATAAAAAAAAAAGATAAAAATTTTAGTAACAAGATAATTATCGTAATATATATCAAAGAATTATAAATAAGAGGCTAGATCATTTTGCCCACTAGTCACATAATGTTATACGTACATATGGACGCATGGCTATAACTTGATGTATGGTCACATATAGAGATACATATACACATGGTCTAACACTCTAGAAGGGAACAAATGCATGCTGTCATCATAATATTAAAAAAATTTCAACATAACACTCATCCAAACAGCATGGTATACATTTGGCTAGCCCTTGAGAGAAGAAAACAAAAGTAGCTGTAGAGCAACAGGCAAACTCGTATATCACGAGTTAGAAGAAAACAAACGTAAGATTAGAATAGTCAATAATAATTCTTAGTATTAAAAAGGTGCTAGTAGGCATTAGTTCTTGTGAGTGTAGAGGAAAACCACGAACAAAATGACACTAAGGAAAGTAAAAATGGGAGAGGGCCGTGAGATAGGATGCTAAGGGAGGAGAAACAGGGAGAAAAGAGGAGGATAAAAGCATAGGAGGAAACTAAGAAGTATAAATCTTGCCTAAATTTTTGAGGTCTGTGTTCATTCCCTTCTCAACTTAAATCATATTATTAAGCTTTATAATTTTATCACATTTATATCTTCCTGAAATGCATTGATTAATTATATCGTCATTTCGTTTTACTATGACATTTAGTTGTACTGCCACGTTTTATTTGCAATCTGATGTATTATGATTTGAGAGATGCTTTAGAAATTTTTTATTTAAAAGATTGCCTGTTTTAAGTGTTCAGAATTAATGGATAGTAAATATCATAAAGTAGTGATAAAAGTTATTGATTTTGAAGTTAACTTTACTATTCTAAGAACTGATAATTCTATTAATCGATTCTTAAATAGTAAATATACCTACTAATAGTTAGAGAAGTTATTTTACTTGAGATTTATTAATTTGTAGATATACCCTTTTATAATTAAAATATGAATTAATATAAACTACGTAAGTTTCAAACCACCCGTGTAGTAAGGAGAAATTTAGTCTTTAATTTGAAATTTCAGATTTTACATGCTCACTAGGTTAATTTTCGAACTAAATTGTTATGATTAAGAAGGAAGCTTTTATAAACAAAAACACACAAGTTTAAAAGATACAGATTTGTAATAACGAACAATACGAAATGATGAAATTTTGAAACCTATTATTATGGATTTAATTCGTTATATTTTTAATTAAGGATACCGTAGAATGAATAATTATGTACATTTAATATAATATTAAAATATTATAAACTTAATTTTAAATCCGAAGTTTATATATATGTGTACTGGAGATTTTTATAAATTATATTTTTACATAGTTAATTATACTTTGTTTAATAAAAATAACAAGTTGGATTTCAGATTATAAGTATTTTAAGTCCGTTCCATCTATATTCTAATATTCAAAGTTTCTCCCTAGCAATTGTGTTTGAAATACTAAACATATACAGTTCAAACTAAGTAGAATGACGTATATTCCTAAATAATAGTCTTGATCAATACTTAAGTAGTCTTAAAAAAAAGATCAAATTGATATTTTTAGACGGCAAATATATTGAATACAGATATAGTCAAACCTTAATATAATAATAAGATAAATAGCCGTAATTAACAATGAAGAAGAAAATGCTGAATCAAATAATGAATAAAGAAAAAGGGAATTGAAACTTTGCTTTGGATTGGATAGGTTGGCATGCCAATAGGGATAATTAACACGGCCGTAGAATTTGATCAATGATTTCGGGTCCGTAGCCACCGAGTGGACAACACCCAAATCTTGATATTTGACTCACGCGCGCTTCTATACGGGTCCGTAGCCACCGAGTGGACAGTACCCAAATATGTTCGTTTACGGGTCCGTATCCACCGAGTGGACAGTACCCAAACGAGCCCCGGCCAGAGCCACCGAGTGGTCAGTGCCAAAATAGTTCTCTGATGGTCCGAAGCCACCGAGTGGACAGTACCAAAGATGAGAACGTCCCGTTTATCCATTCCATAAAATTAAGGAGTAAAATTCCAAAATAAGAAATGTATAGAAATTCGATTTGGAAATACAAACTGAGAAAAATGGAAGGATGCATTGAAAGTGAATGGAAAACGTTAAGAGCGTAGAGTATAATTTAATTTGTGATACAATATCAGAAATATTTGGAAATGGTGACTTTGAACAAAATGGTGATATTATTTACTACGTATATGACATATCTACAAGCTACAATAGCTAT